ATTTTTTGGTGGAGAATCGATTCGAGGGTCCCGGATTGCAGTTTGTGTCAGGAAACGAGCGGTTAGTCCCTGTTCCACGACGTCGATGATCAAGGGAAAGGAAGATAAATGGGTTGCACTGTTGAAGTTGAATTGTTGTTCGTTCTTGTTCGTTCTTGGTTGTGTGGCAGTATGGCAGTCGTATGTATGGTATGGTAGTATACCTTTTTTTTCTTTTCTCCCAGGTATTCTTTGGGGCGTAGGTTCGACCAGGGGTTGTGGGGAAAGGGTTTGTAATGTTGGTAGGGCAGAGAGAGGGTAATCAATGAGATCAAATAAGGTAAGGTTTTCCCGATTCCTGTCTGGGATGAACAAATAAAGTTGAATGTTTTATTTACGATAGCGTGGGGGAAGGGGGAAGGGGCAAGTGTATCAAAGGAAGAAGGAATTTTCGCAGAGAATTCTTGACCAAAGTAGAGATGGAAAGGTTTGTGAAGGAGAGTAAGAGTGAGTGTGAGTGTGAGTGTGAGTGTGAGTGTGAGTGTGAGTGTGAGTGTGAGTGTGAGTGTGAGTGTGAGTGTGAGTGTGAGTGTGAGTGTGAGTGTGAGTGCGAGAGAGAGGGAGAGGGAGAGGGAGATGTTTGAGGAAGAAGGCGAGGATGAGGGTGAGAAAGAAAGAAAAACGAGAGCTGTAAAGCTGTACGATCGTTTAAGATAGATTATTCAATGAGATCGATGAGTATGGTATATTTTCCTTTCCATTTACTAGGCATCTCTAACCTGGAGCCATTTTTAATTATTATTTCTTTTGAAGGGAAAGATCCAATTGGATGCGATTTATCTGGAGATGGGGATGAAGGGAGGGGAGTCTTCTAGAGCTGGGACTGGAACTAGTACCCAGGTAGCATTTCTGTAACCACCTAGTCAAATAGTAGACCACGAGTAAAGCGTGAATCTGATTGAAGGGGATCGTGTAGTACAGGGTAATGTGGCTTTTACGATAACATTTTGCTTTGTTCTTATTCTTACTATTGCTATTGCTATTGCTATTGCTTGTGACTATGACTATAACTAGGCGTATTGCTATTGTCATTGCTATGATGTTCATGTATGATGTTCATGGTTGGTCGATTGCTGGGTTTGAACCTCATACCTCATCTGTACCTGGGCAGCTCACAGTCTGATAGTCTCATGGTCTCGTAACCTTACCACCTCAACTATAGTATCAATTCCTCAATCTTATCATATAATAATAATACCATGTTCTCTTCGGAGTGCCGAGTTGGCCCACAGAATGATTTTGTACCTCCAGTTGGCGTTTGACATATGCCAATTAGGTGAAACTTATATGGGAACCATTCCCGACGAAAGTGACTAGAATCGACGAAGATCAATCAAAGTCCATGGAAGTGGAAAGTAAAGTCCACGTACCTGCATTTCAGCAATACTAATTAATCTTACAATTGATCCCAGAGAACAACTTGTCTTTACTCGGTGAAAGGCATTCGAATGTTCGAAACAGCTACGCCCATTATTATTGAACCACGATCGTCAGCTACTACTTGGCCACCATTCGTGAATTTCCCAGATTTATCATATATCAACACAAATGGTAAGAAATGCATTGTCGCTGATTCTCTCCGGGTTTCCCCTCGCTTCAATATAAATATAAATATAGAAGTAATATATAATATATTATCTACAGAGTAGAGACCCCCCCCAGAAGCACAAGCACAGACAAATCGATCTATGGGCCTTGAAAAGTCCTGATTTGAGATTTGATAGGAACGGAGTATTCTTTTCAATGCTTCCACAAAACCTAACAGTTCCAGAGCTTCCGGTTCGTTCAAGCTTTCCTAAGAACCTACACTACTCCGTTCGTAGTACGTACGTACCAATGGGAGCCTGTGTGATGAGCGGGCCATAATCGTATGTGAATATTTCATTGCTTTTTGAAGATGCTTCCAAGTTCCATTGTTGTGGGAATCGGGAAGAAGCAAAGTTATTCGATTTCCAATGCACTTTGGTAGATCTCGGATAAGGAATTAAAACCCCCTTCATTGCCGTATTCTTCAACATCCTCATCCCAACAGTTTAAAGCGTTCTTGCTGGAATGTAATCAATCAACCATACCTATACAAAGTAGATTCTTATCTCGCTCCCTCATTCCTGGCCGAGAATCCCCTCCATGTTTGTCAATTCCCGGGGCTGATTTATTGGGGCCCCAAGGAATGCAAGTGGAAAATGTCAGCTAAATTACCTAGTATGTACGCCGACCGCCTCAATCTGTCCAAATGCGGTAGGAATCCAGTCCAATTTACGAAATTCAGAAATTCAGAAATTCAGCACAACGCCATTGCCCATGAGTTATTCAGACGGCCTCGCCATTCGTTATCATCTTCCAGTCAGATGGAATCTACATTGCTTCAGCAAGCCTCATCAATTCAAATCTATGAGGAGTGTGAACAATTTCATCAACATGCTTTGCGTTTGCGTTCTTAAAATTCTATATCACTCAATGATGATTCGCCGAGAAGACTACATTACGCTGATGTTTCATCCGGGGAACACATTGGACGCCATCCCTTCGCATGAAAAATCGGGTGTCATCACTATGCTATACAAAGATCCATCTCTAGTTTATTGTTCTCTCTGATCCGCTCCGTCAGTGAGAAGTAATCATTCTCGTACTCACTTGTCACAATACCATGACCTAGAGATCTTACGAAGACTTACGATGATATCAAATATCTACTACGAGATCTGTTTCTAGAAGATCAGCGGATTCATTTCATTGCCGCCATCCAACCCTAACACGCTAATGTTGCTCGAGGTCTATCAACGGGAAGTAGCATGAGTACATAACACAGACACCAGCATATTGATAAATGTACCGTGGCACTTGATTCCTTCGCATGACAATCAATGCGAACGATGAAGCTACTCGCTCGTGGCGCTCGTGGACAACGTAAAAATCCAGAATAGTATCTGTTAAGGCTTGAAGCCTTTCATGTCGTTGTGTCGGGCAAGCTTCTCATATGGGGATCATCAACCAACGAATGAGCTCTCATCACTACATAGACCCTTCTGCGGGTCGATCGCCTTCTTGCATATTCCAAAGCCTTTTCCTTTATCTTGAGGGATATCATCAGCCACGTCGAAACAGCAAAGGCGCATTCATACCTCTGCAGATCTATGTATCCCCATCCAACAAATCTGTTCCATTTGACTGGTCATCCCGCTATCTTTTTACGATAGATACCGAAGCCGTAGGAGATCGGATCTATTTCATCTGCATCACCGTTTTCTGGCTTTGGGTCTGGTCTGTGTAAGGAAAACAAAGCAAGGAAAGAAACTTTGTGACATGGATACACCGGTGATGAGACCATGTATGGATATATAAGCACACGCTAGAAGGTCTCTGGGCAGTCTTTGGATCTGAAAAGTGACAAGTATGCGCCACTTAGGACATGCACAATACAGAATTTGTCCCGAATTTTCCTGTTTTCCTACTTTCCTGGTTGCTCACCGCTATTTACTGAAAAGTGAGGCCAACGAATTGGGTTCCCATGGTGCTTCCGTTTCTTGCTATCCAACGAGCGGAGCCCTAGTGTGGTTACACCACTTGCACGTCGGTATATCGAGAGCCTCGTGTGAACACGTGACGGGGTAATATCCAGGTTATCCATCAATGACTTGCATGATTGCATATTGAGTCACACTAAAGGAGAAGCACACTTCAACCACCATGTTTTATGAGATCTGAAAGATGCAACCATACATGTGGAACCCCACAATCTTCTAGGCATCACCGACCCAAATGGCTGTGTATCCATTCATTGGCTCCAATTTTGATACTATTTATGCGATTTTGGCGCTTCACTTATAGCCGTGACGCCATAGAAAAATTGGCAAGCTCAAGAGGAAGCTTGCTCTTGGGAAATATTGCCTGAACGGAAAGAACGTTTGAAGGAAATTTCCCAAAGGAGCACCTCGACGAGAAGCATCTGTTGGGAAGGATCATGATTCAACCTCTTTCTTAAGATCGCGGCAGATAGGGATTTGGAAGAACAATGATTGAAGGTTAGAAAATAGCTGGGGATAAATTGGCTTTTGCTCTGAAAGACAAACCTTATGCTTTGCAAATGGCGTTTTCTTACGAAGTTCGAGGTTCAAATAATGATTCTGGAAATGCACGGATTGTATGAATACGCAATACAACACGAGGAGCTTTTCAAACTATAAAGTCTAAGGGTCTAGTATCACCATCTTTGTTGGTTCAAGTAGTGTAGGTGTTGATGTTATGATTAATTGGTTATAAGAGCTGATGAAATTACGAGGGGCAAGATGCTTGTGGATATGAAGCTAACAAACTTTGTAGAGACAATCGATGAATGTTTCCAAATTGCATGAGAACGAAAGATGCCAATATCAGGAAAGACGTATGGAGTAATTGGGTTCGAGCTTCGACAAATCATCACGGAATTACATTGATGAATGGCCAGAAGCGGCAAAATCGGACAGAGAAAGATACAGATGGCAGCATAGGTCAGCACAAAAATCCAGACTTCCTTATCTGCTAAGACCTTGAATTTTTTTTACAGTTAAGTTTCTCACGAATGCTTGAATGGACAGCCAATACCAACTGAATAGCTAATATCATCCGGACATCCAATATTGCCTGAACAACCAATATCAACTAGACAGAACAGGAAACATTCAAACCCGTTTGACCAGCAGCTACTTCTGAGTGCATCAATGCGCAGGATGCAGAAGACCCTAGAAGGGGTTTCCGAGCAGATATGATTAAATATAGCAAGAAGGGAATATATGGCTTGGGATTACGAAGATATCTGTTCCTCATTCACCCCCTCACCGCTCATTTCCCACTGGTGTATCTCGAGCCCTCTTGAGATGATTTATCAGAAGCAACGACTTTCAATTGTTAATTTCACAGGTACGACATCTAAATGAACGGAGAGCTTTTCAGCATATAGAGAATGTGGGATTCATGGAAGTATAATGTGTACCATAACCGGCAATTTTAGCATTACCCTTTCGAAGTATCGGTCCCAAGAAGCGGTCCCCCGTGTTTTGATGTTGGGGAGTTTCTGCGGCTCGGAATTCGGAAACGCAAGAGATGCTTTCAAGCGGCTCGATGCTATGTTGATGAAATCTTCGGTCGGTCCCCTTGAGCCCTCCTTCGCTTTCAAACTTCTTTCCAATGTCAAAACGGGAAGGTTAAGGAGATTTCGTACGACTACATGGAATATGATCTATGAGAAATAGGTGCTAGAAAGTTCAAACTTCTTGGAGAGTTTGAACGATCGAAGGTTTTTGCGTTTTGCTCCTTCAGCATCAGTGCGGATATGAATGTATTCAATGGGCATACACTTTGAATTTTCCAAAAACGTCTTCCTCACGGTTTACTTTCTTGAATCGATGGGTATTTCTTAAGTACCGGTGCACGATCCAAAGATATCTCGATGCATTCAGCCTCGAAGTCTGACCGCTACGATGGAGAAACGAGTAAAAGATTTCATGTGATCTATGACTGCTGCAATCGGACGATATTATCCGTGCCCTTCCCCGTAATTGGTTGATGGCTACGGCACAAACCCCAGGAAACGCAGGAAGAGAAAAAAAGTTCAAGTCGCGCCTTGGGATTACAGCAAGTCAGTGAAGCTTACTTGTTACTTATAGTTCATTCCGCAATCATGATGAAGATCCTCATTTGAAACATGCATTGTTATTCACATTGAGGGAGTAGGGATTTTGGATTTTAGCGGGTTAGAATTTAGAATTTAGGATTTAGGAATTTCGGAATTTCGGATTTGATTAAGCATATTTCGTCCGAACCGAATGAATGAACAGCGATGGGTTGTATTTTTGACGAGTCCAGAATTCAGAGTCCAGAGTTCTAGAGTCAGTCCAGAGACTCTCTGGCAGAGAGTTGATGGATGAATTCTTCATCTCCACTTTTTGATGGGATCGGGAAAACATCATTCACAGGAACCCCTTGAATGAGTTTATTGAACTTAACGTAACTTATACCATCAGTTAAGACTGATATTACTGATGAATGAGTTGTAGGATTTTTATTATTAAATATAGCTAGTATATTTAAAAGGTAGCAAGATGGTTTGATCATTATGTACTCTGTACTCCCTATCTTTCGAAAATAACATGGAAACCACGGGAATCGCATCCATTCAGATTCCATTGACATTGACATTAACATTAACATTGACATAAACATCCTGCTCCTCCACTCCACAAGTAGGCACAGTGCGGGAATTGGATTTATGCATAGTGTTTTCCTGCATGCTTACCTTGGCTATTTTTGACACACACACACACACATACACATATGCAGATATAAACCAACAAGAATCACAATCATCCAAAAATCGCAATCGTTCTTCCCCTATCACTTATCTCTAACATATCACACGTTTCCGGAAAGAGTAAACAATAAATGCTTCGAAGCCGCTTATATGCCGGATTTGGAATGGGGAGTTTGGATGAAAAGAAGGGGGTTACTTTGGTAGATAGGATAGGGATGGATGATTTGCTTAGGTACTGATCGGTAGGTAAGGTAGGTAGGTACACTTGCTTTCTTGGGGCGGCTCGAGATGGAGATGGAGATTCGATAGATGCATATAAGGGTATCAAGGGAGCATTATTGAAAGACGGGAATATCTACGCCCCTAGGTAGATATTTAGACAGACCGAGAAGATGGGTATAGAAATATCATGTGCATAAAAATCATGTACATCGTTGTCATCTTCTCTCTGGGTACGCTTTTGCCTTTTGGGAATACCTATCTATTACCGACTAGGTAGGTAAAGAGACACCAATTGTAAATAGTGTTCGCTAGTTGCGTCTATGAATAGAAACATGATTATGATGGACAAGATTTCCTCTGGAGACTACTTCGTATCACTAGGTAGGTTAGGTGCTAGGTACCTATAAACTCATCAACTTCGGAAGTTTGATTTACTCTTCTTCTTCTCCTTCTTTCTCTCTGGGCAGATGTCGAGATTGGGTGGAAGAGCAACTGGATGAATCCAGAAACAAGGCAGTGAAAAAGGCAGTGGAAAAGGAATCCCCCAATTTCCAAATCTCCTACCTCTGTCCCAAATTCCCCGACACGAACAAAGTGGGAAACATCTCATTTTAAAATTTGTCCTTGTTGTCAGGTCCCATGTACGTTGATGGATGAATGTTCGGTGGAGCATCTTCTAGTGTGTACTCCGTAGTAGGTATGATATGGTAAATTGAAAATTGAAGCACGCATGCAACCTTGACGAGAACAAGCTGTGCATTTCATTGGCTGTGTGCAGATTAAATGTTACTTTTCGTCCCTTTTGGTCCCTTTTTCCTTGATGATGCCCATGACTCCACCAGCGCTCCCTGCACCAATCACACGCGATTCACGACCGTTTTGGTTGAAATGAATTGTTCAAATGCGTTCTAGACTAGGAACCGGTGGATCTATGGCTATGGGTGGATGGTGGATGGTGGATGATGGATGGTGAATGGTGGATGAGTGAGTGGATGTGGATCTCTTCAAAGCAGGTACACACTGCAGATGCAGTCTGCAATCCAAGTCAAGTCAAGTCTACTCCCCGTATGTACAAATTACACGGTTCGATGTTCCCGTTTTTATTCACCGTAAACTTTAAGCACGCAAGCAAGCATGCAGGCAAGCATTCATTCAAGCATTCAAGCAGTCAATCAAGCAACTTCTCAGCCGGGAGCTAGATCCAACTCCCTAGGTCATTTGTGATTTATTCTTTTATGAATGGAATAGGGTGGATTTGACTTGACTTGACTTGACTTGAATTGACTTTGGATGACATGGGATGAGATGGATTGATACTAAGAAAAGAGGGTTCGAAAGAGTGACTTCCTCGGTAGTATTGGTAATGATTGGTTCTAAGCTTGTCATTTATGTTCATGTTCATGTCGGTTTGGTGGTTACTGGGTAGAGAGATAATAGATAGATACGGAGGACTAATAATAAGGAAAGAAAAAACAAGGCTTACACACTTTTACATTTACACTTATGATTTACCTACTTTTTACACTTAATTCACTTATTGTTATTTACGCTTGCACAATTTCTCGTTTTCATCTTTCCCCTTCCTCCTTTCCTCTTCTTTTTTTAATTCCTTTACCTGACCGTACCTTACCTTACCTTACCTTCTTTATCCTCCACGCAACCTTCCTTCCATCTCTCTTCATAATCCAACTTGAAGAAAGTATCGACCATTCTCCCAAAAGGCTTTAATAACAAGAGACAAGACAACAACAAACAAACGCTCCTTCCTTCGGGATATCCACATTCTTTCTGAACAACAACTCCCTCCATACACTCACTCCTTCCATAGGTTTCAATCAACTTCACTCTTTTTAGTTGATTTTAACCGTCCATTCTTTCAAAAGGTCCAGCCCAAAATTCAGTTCGGGAAGAGATCAATAAATTCAAATCTTAGGAGATTCAGCGAATATTACTCCAAATCATTCATTACCTTGGCAGCAGTTGATTGTTGCTCTTGTCTTGTTTGGAACTTCTTACTCTTTGTGTAAGTTGTTCTTCTTCTTTTCTGGTCGTGGTTATAAGTGTTGTTGCTGTGAGGGGGTGTGAACGAGGTTCGAGATGTGCTACATACTATCTTGTCGCAAATTCGAGTATCTACACACACATGGGGATTTGACTTTGGAGATTCAATGAAGATGAATAGCTTCAATCTAACTTGATCCATTCAATCCAATAACAAGGACTAACGTTATCATGCGATATAGCCATAGCCATAATCAACGTCAATACCTTCTCTCCGATTTTTGCTATTGTGTGCATGACATCGATACCCAATTACGACCCATTAAACGACAACTCGACGCAATAATATTTACCATACCATACCATTCATTCATTTACATAAACATGGATTCGATATCAATGCTCAAAACTAGATCTATTCTCAACGTCCGTGACGACTCTTCAACTACCACCATGTCAAACTCAATGGTTGATCTTCTTATTGCTTTGATGATCTTGGTATTCATCGGACTTTGTTTGACGGCTGCTTTATACATCGTGCGCAAGCTTCGCCGTAACAGAGCCGTTGCCCGTCAGCAATTGCCTTTACATAACGAGCAACCAAGATCAAACCACCGCCGATTGACTATTACGGCTACTCCTTATGGTGGCCGCGGCTCCACCATTCACGTCTATGACGAAAAGTCATCCATGATGAACTCCGACCGTGCACCACTCTCACCCGAAGACGTTCCTGAAATTCGCATCACTTTCCCCGATGAGCATGATGAATCTACTGGACACAAGAAAAGCGGTCGTGTCGTCATTGTTCGTGTCGGAGAAGCGGGTGTTGGCCTTGAGCCTTTGAAGGAACAGGATCAACTACCCGCTTACGAAAAGGAAACTGGAGGAACCAGATTTCAATCCATCGATATGGATCGCATCGGTGGCTTGAAGGAGAAGGAGAGCTGGTCATAAATCCTCTTATGACTTTGCTGTCTTTTCTTTTTGTCTGGACCTAACTCTCTCAAAATCACATGAACATACGGAGGATCCTCATACATTCATCTTGCATATAAAACTCCTTTCCACCTTCAACGTTTCATCATCACGCAATGATGTAAATGATATCACCTCCTCGAACTCTATTCAGTTACATAATAACATCAAAATTTTCTCTTTCGAGCCGGTTCATCGACAATTGTTTCCCCCATCACCCCCATCAACTTATGAACGGCAAAGCAAGGTGTTATTTAGGCAGGATTTAGGGCAACTGGCGTCGTTCGTACATGTACCTCGATACCCTTCTCGTTAGAATTCGTGGTGGACCAATTTCTTTTTGTAGGTTGGAACTGGAAAGATAAAAAGGAAATATTCACACAAGCTACCTACCCTACCTATTTTTCGAGGTAAGGGAGTGGAACATAAAGAAACCTCTTTCTCGAACAAACTAAAAAGACCAAGATCAAGATAATTGTACTTAATGTATTCTACGTAATTTTCTTCCAATTATGAGAGCGCCTGTTCATTTAAATGGCTTTTGTTCTTTGTTTTTTTTTTCTTTTTTTCTTTTCTTTTCTGATTTTCCTTTTTCATCTTTTTTTCTTCCGCTTTTCTTTTCAACCTTTTCATTTTTGTCTGCCTATCTATCTACTTCTTGAGAAGTGAAGAAATGGCAGGCGTTTACAAAGTTACGGACGGATATATGTGGAAATAAAGACCACAGACACACACAGAGAG